AGAGCTCCTTGCAGATCCACCTCCGCTCCCACACTGGAGAGAGACCCTTCGTGTGCTCTGTCTGTGGCCACCGGTTCACCACCAAGGGCAACCTCAAGGTACACTTTCATCGACACCCCCAGGTGAAGGCGAACCCCCAGCTGTTTACCGAGTTCCACGACAAAATGGCAGCAGGCAATGGCGTTCCCTATGCGCTCTCTGTACCTGTCCCCATAGATGAATCGAGTCTCTCTCTAGACAGCAAGCCTGTCCTGGTCACAGGGACCCCCAATGTAGGTCTACCTCAGAACCTCTCTTCGGGGACTAACCCCAAGGACCTAATGGGTGGCCCACTGGTCCCCGACCTGCAGCCTGGGCCGTCTCCAGAAAGTGAGGACGGATCCCTACTCTCTGGGGTGGGGCCAAACCATAATTCCCCAAGGGCTGGTGGCTTCCAAGGGAGAGGGACACCCGAGCCAGGGTCGGAGACCATGAAGTTGCAGCAGCTGGTTGAGAACATTGACAAGGCCACCACTGACCCCAACGAATGTCTCATTTGCCACCGGGTCTTAAGCTGCCAAAGCTCCCTCAAAATGCATTACCGAACCCACACCGGGGAGAGGCCCTTCCGCTGTAAGATCTGTGACCGAGCTTTCTCCACCAAAGGCAACCTGAAGACACACTTCGGGGTTCACCGAACCAACACATCCATAAAGACGCAGCACTCGTGCCCCATCTGCCAGAAGAAGTTTACCAACGCAGTCATGTTGCAGCAGCATATCCGGATGCACATGGGTGGTCAGATTCCCAACACGCCCCTGCCCGAGAGTCCCTGTGACTTGGTGGGTCCGGAGCTGATGGTGGTGGGTGAGAACGGCAGCACAGGTGCTGTCTGTCACGACGACATTGTCGAAAGCATCGATGTTGATGAAGTCGGCTCCCAGGACGCTCCCAGCAGCTCCTCGAAGGTCCCCCTGCCTCTTTCCAGCATCCACTCGGCATCGCCCACAACGGGGTTCACCTTGATGGCCCCCCTGGAGGCCTCGGGGAAGCTGGGTCCGGCTCCTCTGGTCCTGCAGCGGCAGAGCAGCCGAGAGAACGGTTCGGTGGAGAGCGATGGCTTGACCAACGACTCCTCGTCCTCAGTGATGGGAGACCAGGAGTATCAGAGCCGAAGTCCAGACATCCTGGAGGCGACCTCCTTTCAGGCCCTCTCCCCGGCCAATAGCCAAGCAGAAAGCATCAAGTCCAAGTCTCCTGATGCTGGTGGCAGAGCAGACAGCTCCGACAGCAGCCGCACCGAGATGGAAGGTGATAGAGCTTTGGATTTAACTTATGTCCGTTTCAGGCACAAGGTCATCCAAAAGGAACCTGGGTTGAACTTGGCACACGGAGAGTGTGGTAAATGTGAAGCGTCCTCTGTAGGGCAGGTAGCCATTCTGCACTTCTGGGTGGAGCGAAAGAGTAACTTCCTTTATCCCAGGAAGGACATCTTTGATTTAATGCCCGTTGGCTGTGGACAGTGGGCTGTTTTTGTTTTTGTTTTGGTGGTTGGGCCCTGTGGGGACATAGGGTAATCTTAAAGAGCAGAGGCATTTTGAGGAGGTGGGCACTGTTATTTGGCCACTGAGACAAACCATAGGTCCCACTCCCTAGTGTGAGGTTCACAAATGAATAATGGGGTAAAAAGTATCTAACCCTTTTGAAATGCACATATAAACGGTGGGGTGCCTATTAATGTCATTAATGGCAAAATGGGGGGACAACTACATCATAGAGAAGGATGGGCACCTGGTCATACTTCAAGGTAACTCTTTATATAGGGGTTTGGACTTGAATGCATGTTGTGTGTTACATACCTTTACAGCAGAATGGTAAAATTTCCTAAGTGTGTGAGTCACGATCATTCTCCGCACAGGTAAAGTGAAAGGAGAGCTGCTTCCGTGGTGTGAACTTCCTGAAGTCCTTTCCAGGAAGCCGAGTGGTGGGCAGGAGTTTTCAAAGTTCTTTTTTGGTTTGAGTGTGAATGAGTTTGGGGTGATCAAGTTTTGGGATTTTTTTCTCTGCGTACTAGGTCGGAGCAGTCTCCCATCAGCATTTGTCCGAGCCCAGCCAACCTATGTCAAAGTGGAAGTTCCTGGTGCGTTTGGACCCGTGACCATGTCCCCAGGCCTGGCTCCTCTGCTGGCGGCCCAGCCACGCCGCCAGGGCAAGCAGCACGCCTGCACGCGGTGCGGGAAGAACTTCTCGTCGGCCAGCGCCCTCCAGATTCACGAGCGGACTCACACGGGGGAGAAGCCCTTCGTGTGTAACATCTGTGGGCGAGCTTTCACCACCAAAGGCAACTTGAAGGTGAGTTCCCTAGGGTTTCGGCGGGGATAGGACCCAGGTCGGGAGGGGCATCTCTTGGTGTTCTCCATCCATAGCACACCTTCTGCTAGGAGCAAATGGGATATTACACTTCAAAACTGGCTCTTCAGAGAAATATTCTTTAAAAAGAAGTAAATTTTCTTGTCCGAGCCAGTTTGGCTCAGTGGATAGAGTGTTGGCCTGTGGACCTGAAGGGTCCCGGGTTCAGTTCTGGTCAAGGGCACGTACCTCGGTTACAGGCTCGACCTCTTCCCTGGCTCTAGATCCCTGGCCTGACCAGGGCACGTGTGGGAGGCAACCAATTGATGTGTCTCTCAGATCAATGTTTCTCAGTCTCGCTCCCTCCCTTCCACTCTCTGAAAATCAATGGAAAAAAATGTCCTCGGCTGAGGATTAACAAAAACATAAAAAACAAAATAAAAATAACTGTATTTTCTCTATCCTGGCATCTCTGATACTGGATGCCTCTTGCTGTCAGTGTCTGTGATCAGCGACTCTTTTCTCATCTCAGTGCAGCTAGAATCATGACACATTTTACAAGGGGCGGGCACAAAGTCTGCACTCCGCTCCCGTCTCTTGGTGTTAAGTTTAGCGTAGGCCATCGTCCTTCCGGGCTGGGCAGACCATGCTGCCTTTCAGCAATCGTTTAGTAGATGTGTGGAATCATAGATGGTATCTGTCTTGTGTAGTAACGTAGAGTTGATCAATCATGTGATGGCCACCCTGCACTGTCCGTTGCTTTTGTCTTCTGAGGCTGCTGGTTTGAAAAGAATACCATCTGTTAGACAGACAATAAAGTACCTCCGCAGTGTGCCTCCAGGTCAGCAGCAGTGCATTTCAAAATAGTACAGCTGGGTCTATGGCCTATCGTTACATGACAAGTTGGTTCCACCTAAGATCTCACACAGGAGATGGAGAGAAGACCCTCCCACGTAAGGATTGGAAGTGGCCCGCGTGAGGACACAGGATGGAAATTGGGGACCTGAGTGTTCCTCTTGGCCTGGCCTCTGGTTTTACACAAGGCATGTTTCTCTGGTTCTCTTTCTCTCCCTCTCCAGAGTAGAACATTCGTTTACTTCTTTGTAGTTAGAATAAAGATTGGAACTTCATCTTAAAGATGACCTAGGAGACAACTGTATATGTCATTTTAAAAATTGAAAATACTTATTACAAAACAACCTATTCTTTTCATTCCAATTGGCAAAACTGCAGGAGGAAGAACATGAAGTAACTTCAGCTCTAATACGACTCCCAGAAATACAAAGGTTACATTTGATCACAGGCCCTGCCATCAGCCAGGGGAGGCCTGGAGCTGCTCTCGCTGCACTGGGGGCTTGAGGCAGGTGCTCCTCGTTCTGTGTTTCCCAGGCATGGGGGTCCTGGTAACGATGGCCTCAGGCTTGTCCTGGAGATGAAATGAGTTATATAGTCAAGTGTTTCAAATGATGCCTGCAACATCTTAACAGCTTCTTAGAGTGATAAAGAGCAAGTCACTTCCGAGCTCTATGAGGTAACTCCCGACTACTAAGGTTGTCAGTGAAGATGAAATGAGAAAGCCTGGTACCGCTTCAGTTTTTTAAAGAAGCTGCAAGGGGGTTGAGAATTCAAGCAGAACCAGGAAAGTAATTGCAGAAAGGAGTTGAAGAAGCAGTAGGTAGTACAAGCATCTAAATTTTTTTCCCCCTCAAGAGAACAGATATCTGGATCTTTTATATATGAAATCTAATTTTTAAATATAAATTATGTTAATACCGTTTGGCTAGAACCAAACCCACACACAGGCTGACTTTGGCTTGTCAGCGTGCATTCACATCTCAGTTTCGGTGGAAACCTTTCTGTCCCTCTTCCCCTAGGTTCACTATATGACGCATGGCGCCAACAACAGCTCCGCCCGCCGCGGGAGGAAGCTGGCCATCGAGAACACCATGGCTCTTCTAGGAACAGACACAAAGAGGGTCCCAGAGGTGTTTCCCAAGGACATCATGGCCCCTTCAGTGAACGTGGACCCTGTTGTGTGGAACCAGTACACCACCATGCTCAACGGTGGTCTGGCCATGAAGACCAACGAGATCTCGGTGATCCAGAGCGGAGGCATCCCGACTCTCCCCGTGTCCCTGGGTGCCAGCTCCGTTGTCAGCAACACCACCGTCTCCAAGATCGATGGCTCCCAGTCAGTTAGCAGCGACGTGGAAAAGCCGGGTGCTGCTGACAGCGTCCCCAAACACCAGTTCCCTCACTTCCTGGAGGAAAACAAGATTGCGGTCAGCTAAGCGACGGGAGAGCCCGTGTGAAGGAGAAATGCCGAGTGACCGCTTGAACTGGATCTTTTGTTTTTGTCGTTGTTGTTAAAAACCCATCTTCTCCTGTTCGTTTTTTTACTGATGTGCGAATGTTTACAGTTGTGACCACAACCTCAGGCACGTCCAACAATCACGATGTTGCTATGCTGCTTTGCTAAAAAAACCAAACCAAACCACACACATACTAAAATAAATACAGACTAGTATTTTTTTTTTTTAATTTTGGAAGAAGCGGGTCTTGCAAAGTGGCTTTGTTACTTGAGACAAACTGTATATATGAAGACTGTGTACAAGCTAGAGGAACTGTGTCCAAAGATTGTCCCCTGTTTCAAGTTGGAACTTACTGAACCATGATGGGAAAGAAACTGCTTAGCTTAACTGGGGAGGGGGCGCTGCATGTGCCAATGTCTTCCCTGCTTTCAGATGCCGCCTTCCTGAACACCAGGACAGGTGGGCACCTGAGCAGGGGACCTCAGGTGACTTGATGTAGTTCACCAGTGCCTACTCTAGCGAAGAAATGAGTCTTTCATTCTTGAAGAAACTCATGGAGGGCATGTTTCTGATACGAGGTTCACATACTACTTTTTATAAAAACTTTGATGTGACTTATGCCAAGTAATTGTGAAGATTCTTTCCCCCGTGAGTACTGCATGAAGGTTACGGAGTTGGAACAGGCGAGTCCTGGGTATGAAAGCTTTAATTTATCTACCTCATTTATTTTTTATTTTTGTAGCGTTAGTCTCTCTTTTCCTATTTTATGACCGCTGAAAGTGTTCCCAGTCCCTGTCTTAAACCTAAGAGTTGATGTATTGGTGGGAGCGGCTGGGACTCCCAAGATGTTTTGTGATTTTTTTTTTTAAATCCCTTTCTTGCATATATAATAAGCAAATGCTCAAACTTTGATGATTTAACGAGGAAGAAGAAGGAAAGACCCTGGTTTCTGAGTCTTTCCCCTCAATGTGGAAATGTACATCAAAACGTGTATCAAAAGTTGGTCTCTGGATTACTGCACCTGACTTCAGGATAAAAAAAAAATTATTTTTTTGCCAAGTTGTGCCTTTCCTTCTGAAATTGTAAATGAACACAATACTAGAACCTGTTTACACTGTGAAGTGGATATTGTTACAGAGGACATGCCAGAGGCTTTCTCACTGTTATGCCTTGTGAATGTATGATCTACAGAGAAAAACTTGTAGTTTTACCTGCTGATGCTGACTGATGGAAAATAAATTTTGGTATTTTTCCCCTCACCAGATGTATCTAAGTTTTTCTGGTCCTTTCTGCTCTAACCTGAGAGTCCATCCTTGACAAACATTTCCAGGTGACTCCTGACCTCAAGGTCCTAACAATGAAGACGTTTATCCAGTTACATCTGTGCTTGACCCACTTCTCAAGCACGTAACCAACTACTTGCTGGTTCATCTCTTTTCTTTTTAAAAAAAAAATTTTTTTTTATTGATTTCAGAGAGGGAGAAAGAGAGAGAGATAGAAACATCAATGATGACCGAGAATTATTGACTGGCTGCCTCCTGCACGCCCCACACGGGATCAAGCCCGCAACCCAGGCTTGTGCTCCGACCGGGAATCGAACTCTGACCTGTTCATAGGTGGACACTCAACCACTGAGCAACCCTGGCCAGGCTGTATCTTTTTTTATTTTATTTTTAAATATATTTTATTGATTTCTTACAGAGAGGAAGGGAGAGAGATAGTTAGAAACATCGATGAGAGAGAAACATCGATCAGCTGCCTCCTGCACACCTCCCACTGGGGATGTGCCCGCAACCCAGGTACATGCCCTTGACCGGAATCGAACCTGGGACCCTTCAGTCCGCAGGCCGATGCTCTATCCACTGAGCCAAACCGGTTTTGGCTGTATCTTTTTTTAAGGCGTAAAAGTTTTATTAGAGTTAACTTCACTAGAGAACTCTTGCTTGTGTTTGCTTATGACTATAGAGGACTTATGCCCTAGACTCCCCCACATCTCAGTCCATCCTGACCAAGTCACTGGGCAGAGAGAGAGCATTTTTAACCATCTCATAATTATGGGTTGCTTAGGAGGGAATGGGCTGAGAGTCAAATAGGCAGCCCTTAATTCCAAGGGTAGTGGGAAAAGTACTCATTGGAGGGAGACACAGGGCAAGGCCAGGTTAGTGACCTGGTAACGTGCCCTCTTGTTGCCCATCTTTTGCTGTTTGTCTTTGCAAACCCAATGGCAAGAAGCAGCATGAGACCCCAGAACCTTTGTGGCTGTGGACCCCACGTTATCCTGAGGTCTATTCCCTTGACATCCAGCAAAGGGCTGGGAGTTGTGTTCTGATGACCTTTGACCTGCATGTCAACTTCCTTTGCAAGTGGATGTTTTCCACCCTCCCCTGACCCTCAAGGTCTGTCCTTTGGCCTCAGTGCTAAATTTAGGAAGAAGCAGCCACACTGTGACTCAGAGCCAGATTAAGCTGGTCCTTAAGATAGCTGAAATGGAAAGTACCTAATTTAAGCTAGTAACATGCCTTGGTCCCAAGTGTACAATTTTCACACTTTCTCCCTCTTGATAGTAACCCACAGGTGAGTTATGTCTTTCTGGACTCAAATGTATGGTAATTATATTACTTAAGAAAAAAATGTATATATCTTTCCCCCCTCTCCAGCATATTTTACACATCTTTCCCAAGCAAAGCCCGTTTCTGGCTAGTTGTTTTAAAATATCTACAATAATATAGAAATGTTTAATTAGCTATTTTAGACGGTACGTCTATTTCCCTCACACTATTTTGTTAAAGCATTTTGATCATTGCCCTGGCTGGGTAGCTCAGTTGGTTAGAGCATCATCCCAATATGCCCAGGTTGCAGGTTCAATCCTCAGTCAGGGAACAAGAAGCAACCAATGAATGCATAAAGAAGTGAAACAGCAAGTGGATGTGTCTCTCTCTCTCTCTCCCTCCCTCCTTCCCTCCCCTCCCTTCCTCTCTAAATTTAATAAAAAAGTTTTTAAAAAAGAATTTGATCATCTTCGTGGCATAGTTTTTTTTTTTTTGCATTTGAATTAACTCGGTAAATTTGTACTTGAGGGATTGCTAGCACAAAAATTGTGATGTTTCCATAAGTGTATGGTGTGTGTGTCTATTTTCTCAGCCCTAATCTTTGAAGCCCATTCCATATATATATATAAAATAAAAGCCTAATATGCAAATTGTCCCCTTTGGTGGTCACTATGATGTGCACTGACCACCAGGGGGTGGCACAGAACATGGTGGGCATCGGCAAGGGGCACTGGCAGTGGGCAGCTGTGGAGGTATCACTGGCCCCAATGGGCCCTGCCAAGGGCAGGACAGAATGGTGGAGCAGGTGAGGGGGTGGCACCAGGCCAACACGGGATGCCAGGTGGGGCTGCGGGGCTGCGAGGCTGGGGGTGCAAGCCCAATCTCTGCAGGCCACCCTGAGGGACCCCATTTGTGCACCGGGCCTCTAGTATGTGTATATATATTACACATATATATATACAAAACTTTCAGCTCTTTTCCCCCCTTTTTATTGACTTAATTGGGGTGACACTAGTAAACAAAACAGGTTTCAGGTGCACAATTCTATACATCATCTGTACATTGTATTGTGTGTTCACCACCCCAAGTCAAGTTTCTGTCCATCACCATTTATGCCCATGTACCCTCCCTCCCTCCCTCCACCTCCAGGCAGTCATCTCACTGTTGTTTCTGTCCATGAGTATTTTTCTCTATTTTTTGCTCATTTCCCTCCACACCCCGCCATCTGGATCTCCCCTCCCCCCACAACTGTCTGCCTGCTCTCTATTTTGATTGTTAGTTCATTTTGTTCATTAGATTTTACATATGAGTGAAATGATATGGTTCCTGTCTTTCTCTGATTGGCTCATTTCACTTAGCAGAAGGCTGTCCTGGTCCACCCATGCTATTGCAAAGGGTAAGATTTCCTTCTTTATTTATGGCTGAGTATTACTCCATTGTATAAATGTACCACAGCTTTTTTTATCCACTCACCTACTGATGGACTCTTGGGTTGTTTCCACAGCTTGGCTATTGTAAATAACGCTGCAGTGAACATAGGGGTGCATATATTCTTTCGAATCGGCGTTTCGGGTTTGGAAGAGTAGGCTGTGATGTGAGCACAGTGAGTCCTCTGAGTTTATGGAGCACAGGAGGTGGGCAATACAGCCGCTGTAGGACCTGCTCTTCAGACCTGAGACCTGCCTGTCTTCTCGTGTCTTCTTCTGTGGGTTCCACATGTTCAGAACTCTGTTTTGATATTTGATAGATGATTTAAGGGGTTCTCAACATCTTGGCTTGTATAAATGGCCAATTATATCTCAATAAAACTTGGGCGGGGGGTGGGGGGGTTGGAGGCAAACTTCTTTTTCCCTGGCCCGCTGGCTTTAGTTGGTACCCCCAGAACATGTTTAAACAGTATTCTGGGAAAGGAATTGTTTGCATGATGTGGATGCATTTGGAGAGGGGGCCCTCCAGGTGAAGTACTTTTTGGCAGCAGAACTTGCCTAAGAGCCATTAAGAATGGGGAAGGCCCTAGCTGGTTTGGCTCAGTGGATAGAGTGTCGGTCTGCGGACTGAAGGGTCCTGGGTTCAATTCTGGTCAAGGGCACATGCCCAGGCTGTGGGTTTGATCCCCAGTAGGGGGCATGCAATGATTCTCTCTCATCACTGATGTTTCTATCTCTTCCTCTCCCTCTCTGAAATCAATAAAGATATATTAAAAAAAAAAAAAAAGAATGGGGAAGGTGGCCCTAGCCGGGTGGCTCAGTGGGTTGAACCACATTCCCAAACACCAAAAGGTTTTGGGTTCCACTCCTGGTCAGGGCACATACCTAGGTTGTGGGTTTGATCCCAGGTCTGGCACGTGCAGAAGGCAGCCAACCGGTCAATGTTTTGCACATTGATGTTTCTGTCTCTTTTCCTCTCGATAAGAAAAAGAAATCAATAAAAGTGTGTCCTGCCCTGGCCAGTTTGGCTCAGTGGATAGAGTGTTGACCTGCGGATGGAAGGGTCCCGGGTTTGATTCTGGTCAAGGACACATGCCTTGGTTTCGGACTCAATCCCCAGTGTGGCGCATGCAGGAGGCAGCCGATCAATGATTCTCTCTCATCATTGATGTTTCTATCCCTCTCTCCCTCTCCAT